TCACTCCAAAGATAAAATCCGAAATCATCAAGGAATAAATCCCCATTTTTTCCTTCCCTCACCCCTGTTAACCTCTAATCTATTTTATGTCTCTATGAATTTACCTAGTCTAGATATTTTATATAAGTGGAATCATATAATATTTGTCTCTTTGTGTCTGGTTTCTCAAACTCAGCATGATGTTTTCAATGTTTATCCTTGTTGTAGCAAGTATCAGAAGTTCATTCTCTTTTATAGCTGATTAATATTCCATTGTATTGATATACCACATTTTGTTTATTTTAGTTACTGTGAATAATGCTGCAATGAATAATGGTGCACAAATATCTATTTGAGTCCTTGTTTTCAATTCTACTTTAAAGTTTCAAGTAAAGAAGTATTTCAAATTGCTCTACTACCAGGGGTTAGAATTCAGTTCATAAATTAGCTATGTTCCTTTTTTTTCTTATTACTATTTCCTACTTATAGCAGAAAGCAAAAGAAAGGGAGAAACCAAATTAATTTTGCTACTTGTTGGTTTATTTATCTGGTAAAAGGCTTGGTTAGGGAGATACTAGATTAAAATGAATTTTACATGTTCTCCTTCGATGTCCTTTCTCTTTTCTAAATCTATTCCCAGATTCTACGGATTATCTGAAGTTGTTATTATAGCAAATGTTAGGGTTTACAAACAAGTATGGGGATTCTAAGTTCGAAATTCATACTAATGAAATCCTTTCACCAAATGAAATCTACTTAAATGACATTTCTAAACATATTGAAAGCACTAGGGTCTAGTACATAATTGCACTCCCAAACTGCTCCAATATCTAGCTAATGGCCTTCTCCTAAGAACCACTGTTGAATTTAGGGTCCATATATCGCTCACATATTTAATCACATATTATCTCATGAGTTCCTCCTTAATACTATTTGCATTCTTATCTCCTAATCTATAAGCTCATAGAACAGAGATCATGTTTCACATTTTCAGTATTCCCCAAAACATTCATCACAAAGTTGAACAAATTGAAGGTAATGGCTAAATCTTTCTTCTGGAGTGAACTAATTGGGGATAATATAGAAAAACTAATGCATGACTCAACTAGATTAAAAAATATTTCACTTACCAGATTAACATAGTATACTTTAACTTACTTCCTAAAAAAATAAAGCTTTAAATTTGTTTTAATAAATGTTACCTCATTGACTCACCTACTAACCCCATTATGTAGTTCGTTGACCACCACTCTTCTGCTCCATGCCATGAGATCTCTTTCTGTGGCCATCTGGCTCCGAGGAGCATTATTATGCATTTGTCGGACACCTTCAATTTGACCATTACGTCGGAGCCCAATGTTTGGGGAAGACAATATGTCCATATTTGGACTTCTCAGAGCTAAAACAGAAACAAGGAAAAATATCACTTTCTGAGTAAAGGCACCAAAGTTTTCCAGATCAGAGCTTTACATAAAACGGGCAATTGAAAGAATACTGCTAGAAGAGTTTCCATTCCTTTGTTCTACCTTTTCTGTACCTTTTTATGTTTTTTATACTTATGAACAAAGGAGGCACTCAATAAATAGTTATAGTTTCTACAGGTCTTTTTTTATTCTTTCAGCGTATTACAGGGGTACAAATGCTTATGTTACATGCCTTGCCTTTGCCCTGCTCAAGTCAGAGCTTCAAGCATGTCCACCCCCAGACGGTGCGCACCGCACCCATTAGGTGTGAATATACCCATCTCCTCTTCCCCCCTCCCTCCTGCCTGACACCCAATGAATGTTACTACTATATGTGCACATAAGTGTTGATCAGTTAATACCAATTTGATGGTGAGTACATGTGGTGCTTGTTTTTCCACTCTTGGGATACTTCACTTAGTAGAATGGACTCCAGCTCTATCCAAGACAATCCAACAGGCGCTAGATTGCCACTGTTTTTGTGGTTGAGTAGAACTCCATGGTATACACATGTCACATTTTATTAATCCACTCATGTATTGATGGCCACTTGGGTTGTTTCCATATCTTTGCAATTGTGAATTGTGCTGCTATAAACATTCTAGTGATTTTTTTTTAATAGAATGTCTTTTTTTTCCTTTGCGCAGATACCCAGCAATGGGGTTGCTAGATCAAATGGTAGTTCTACTTTTAACTCTTCGAGGTATCTCCATATTACTTTCCATAGAGATTGTCCTAGTTTGCAGTCCCACCAGTGGCGTATGAATGTTCCTATCTCTCCACATCCACACCAACATTTATTGTTTTAGGACTTGTTGATAAAAGCCATTCTCACTGGAGTTAAGTGATATCTCATTGTGCTTTTTTTTTTCTTTTTCTTTCAGCATATTACAGGAGTACGGATGATTAGGTTACATATGATGCCCTTGCCACCCCCACTTCCCCCCAAGTCCGAGCTTCAAGTGTGTCCATCCCTGGGATGGTGCACATTGCACTCATTGTGCTTTTGATTTGCATTTCCCTGATGATTAAAGATTTGAGCATTTTATCATGTTTGCTGGCCATTATTCTGTCTTCTTTTGAAAAGTTTCTGTTCAT